AACGCACTTCCGTGTGCCCCGGGAGGAAGAATGAGGAATAGAATGGAGGGCAGCGTTGAAGACAGTGTCATAAAAAAGAAGGAGGGCGCGAGGAAGAGGCAGAGAGGAGAGGTCAGAGAGAGTAGCACGGAGGGTGAATAGGCACCAGTCAGCCTTGGCAAACTGTCACCTAGGCAAGGAGAGGGGAGGGTGGAAAGAGAAAAAGGAAATGAGGATGGGGAAATTATCACTGTTATGGAGGTCATCAAGAACCTGCCACATGAAATCTAAGTAAAGGGACAACGAGCAGAGAGAAAGATCAAGACAGGAAAGGGTGCGAGTTCGAGAGTCCACACGAGTGGGCTCGCCAGAATTCAGAAGATAGAGAAGAAGTGAGGACAAACGGTTCCAGAAGACGGCCTCGGGTGTTTGTCAGAACATCACCCCAGAGGGAATGTCGACAGTTGAAATCACCCAAAAGGAGCACCGGCTCTGGCAAGGAGTCCAGGTGATGGTTAAGATCAGGAAGGGAAAGCGGGACATTTGGGGGGAGATAAATGGAACAGACTGTATACCATTTACCCACAAAAACACGGGCAGCAGAACAATGGATAGGTGACGGAAGAAGTCGGGGGATGAAGGGAATATCAGATCGAATTAAGAGATCAGTAGAGTTACGGGCCCCAGCAAGAGCTGGGGGGGGGGAAGAGAAAGAAAGGAATAACCACGAAAGTGACCAGGACGAGCACCAAGCATTGGTTCCTGGAGAAACACAAAGCGGTGAAAACTGTAATTAGAAGTTGGAGTTCATGGAAGTTGGCATAAAATCCACGAATATTCCACTGAAGAATAGACATTACCAAAGAGAAAGGACAGTAACAGAACAAGTAAGAAATAAAGGTATAGAAGAACACAGTTTATTAAAGAATCTCAGGATCAGGAGCAGAGTCGTCAAAATCAGGGTTAGGGGGCATGGGTAAACTTAGTAAGGATAGAGGGAAGAGAGCGAGAGGACAGACCAGAGGCGGACTGACGGGGTCTGGAGGGGGACGAGACAACTGAGAGGGGCAGGCAAGGACAGCTGGAGGGGGGGGGGGCAGAAGGCAGGGAGTGCGCCTCAGCAAGAGCAGCAACCTAGAAAGAATCGGGGGCGAAAGAAACCTCCATATCTGGGACAGGGGGTTCGACCACTGAAATGGGAGAGGATGTAGTGACAGAGACAAAAGGAGGGGAGTGAGGAAGACAGCAAAGCCTTCTTATCCGCTGGAGATGAAGAAGGAGAGGAGCCAGGCTTACGTTTCTGACTCGAAGAGACAGGCGTTCCAGTAACAACGTACCGGGCGACAGACTCAATGGTCTCAGCAGGAGAAGAGGAACGGGAGCGAATAACACGAAGATTGCTGGGAGGATGATGGATATCAGCCTGGACAGACAGGTGGCGTGGAGGGTCAAGAGACTGGGGGAGGGTCGGGAAGAAAGAGTGGGGGGGAGATGGGGAAGAAGACAAAGGAGATATGGTGGACTGGGTAGGAAGGGGGGAAACCCCAGATGGAGAACCGGGAGGGAGACCATCTGGGACAGGAGGCAGAGGAATAGGGGAGGAGGTGGTGGGTGTGGTCGGGTTTAAGGCCTGGAAACGGTTGAGAGACTGAGGAAAGTGGGAAGGACGAGGTGAGGTAGAACGCAACACGCGAGCGTAGGATACGCCCGCGAAAGGGGTGAAATGACGAACTTTGCGTCTCGCTTCAGGAAAAGACAGACGATCACGGTGCTTCAAATTGAGGACGGCTTTTTCGAGTTTGTAGTGTACACCCGAGCGTGAGAAAGTAGGATGGGCCTCACCGCAATTTAGGCAGCGAGCCTGGGGAGAAGTGCACTCTGACTTAGAATGACTATCGTCTCCACACATGGGGCATAGATACACAATACTTGTGCATTTGAGAACACCGTGCCCGAACTTCCAACACTTATTGCAAAGTCTAGGGGAGAGAATGTACTCCTGAACGGAGCATCTGGCACCAGCAATAATAATAATAGAGGGCGGAAGGGTCCTACTATCAAAGGTGATTTTTACAACTCAAAAAGGAGCTGACGGCGACGACCACGAGGGGGTCAAGTAAACGTGTCCACCTGGAGGACAGAATGGCCTTAATTGTGTTTTGAGGATATGTTTAATATCCTCATGGCAATCTTTGAGGTCTCGAACACCAGTTGCAACATGGTGTGGGAGGAGAACAGTGCCAACACTGGCATTTAACCGAGCGTTTTTGGAGACCCGAACAGGGGGGTCTCCAATGCAGGACAAAGCGGCTAAGCGAGTAGCTGCATCCTGAGAAGGAGCAGCGACGACACGCGTTCTGTAACTGGTGGAGTTAAAAGTAACACAGGCATCTACTGAATCAACAAGGTGTTTATGGTGGGAGAAATCGTCAGGAGGAGTAGAATCCAGATGGTGGAGATCAAAGTATTTAGCCCACGTAGCGGGACCAAACAAGGCGTTGTAAGTAGTATTACAGGAAGGGATCGTGCGAGTGCGGCCGTGGCGGGAACGGCGTTGAGAACCCCCAGAGAAAGAGGGGGTAAAAGGCGCAGTAGTCACAATGAGAGACGAAGCCGTGCCAGGGGACGAGGTGGTCATCACTGGGGGCTGGGGACTCGACCCTACCGCAGAGGAGGGAGGGGAGCTGAGGGAAGTAGTCAGGTCGTCGGGGCCCAATGCAGCAGGGGCTATAGGGCCTGGTCTTCCAACACAGTCCGACTCTGGGGGGGGGGGGCTTGGTCGCCCACCCCACGAGCCTGAGAAAGTACAAGGGAAACTTTATCAGCCATGAAAACGAGGAAAAACTTTCATTCACGAATGTGCCCCCACACCCACCATGGAGCCACAATTAGAGGCAGGACACCCAACAAGAAGCTATCGCCGATCTTGAAGGGGCCCCCAGGGGAGCGTCGTGAGTATACGCCCAACAAACGCCACCTTAAGAACCGTGAGTCCGTCGAGAGGGGGTTCAGTGACGAAAGGGGGATTGACAATAAAAGGGTCCCCTCACTCGAGACGTTGGGTACTACAGTTCTACGGGTGCAAGAGTATGCCTCCTCAAACACCCGGGCGTCAAAACAAAAGAAGGTCGAAAGAATAATCAAAACAGGCAAAAGGTCGGCAGGAAATGACAATTTGATAGGAGAAGAGGGGGGAGAGAAATGAAACACGAGTAAAAGGAAAAGGAGCCTGGCAAAATTGGTAAAGGCAGCAGCAGGAGCATAAGGCTGCAAAAGGACAGAGGACTGACCCATGGAGCATCACACTCCAGCAGCTGCCCACCAAGCCCCCTCACGGCGACAACGGGCCAGACAGGGAGGGGGGCAACATTATGTAACTCAATGCATGTACCCTTACCTGAATAAAAAATCTAAATTTAAATCTATATCGTTCGCCTTATGCTTTTTCGTTTTAGTACTGGCATCCTTAGTGATATTTAGCGTTTTTTTAATATGCTACACATTTAATGGTGTTACATCGTCTCGCCGGTTTGGCGCCATTTTTAATAATTAATGTACTTGTCTAATCAAGTAACTAGCACCATCATCCATTACTCCCCGCTATACAAGTTTTCCATAGTCAATGATTTAAAGGCATTACCGAACATTAATTGCTTCAGAGTGATGTTTTTTACCTTAATTCCCCTAAGGGTCACTAAAACTAGTGGCCTCGACGAGGACAGGAAGCCGGTGGCTTGTCAAACATACCATTTGTCCCGATTTTTTGTTCTAACTGGATTTTAAATTTCACCAGTTTTGGCTTTTATTGATTCAGGGGGTAGGCGGTTCCAAGAGTTTATAACCCTGTGGGAGAAAAGGCATCTCCTGTTTTCTGTTCTACATTGTGGTTTGTTGAGCTTAAAACCGTTACGCCTTGTTTGTTTTACATCTGACTTTTTGAACAAATTGTCTGGATCAACGTCTTCCAATTTGTTCCGTATTTTAAAAGTTTCGATGACATCCGCCCTGTCATGCCTGGTTTGCAATGTTGTTAGCCCTGTGGCGCTCAACCGTTCCTGGTATGAGAGTTAACTTAGTTCTGGAATGATTTTCGTTGCCTGGTGTTTAACTTTCTCCAATGAAACCATGTCTTTCTGAAGATGGTCTCCATGCTATGAACAATAATCCAGGTGGGAATATATACAGTTGAATAACTACCTTTTTTTCCTTAGTCAAAAGTACTTTTGATTATTCCTAGGGTTTCATTAGGCGTTTTTTTTTATTGCCGCTCCCACTTTTTGTGCAACTTTCAGTGATTGACACGATCTTAGAGTCAAACATTTCTTCCTCAATCTGCTGCAATGTAATGTGGTTAATTTGGTAGTTGTTACGTGTCTCATGCCCCACATGAAATTCTTGCATTTTTCGGTTTTCAAAAGCATTTGCCAGTCTTCTAAATATCTGTGGAGTTCATGTAGATAGATCTCTTCGTAAGACCTCAATATTATTTTCACTTCCCACTTTACCATAAATCTTTGTCATTTCTAAATTTGATGACGTGGTTTGTAATATTTTCATCCATGTCATTGATGTATATGACCAATAGGGTTGGCCCCAAAATGGACCCCTTGCAGTACCCCACTCGCCACATTTATCCAGTCAGATGCATTCCCGTTTAACAAACCCCCATTGTTTTCCTTGTTTTAACCAAAGTTTTATCCATTCAAGTATTATATCATACATTCAATGTGCCTGTAACTTCCTTGACAAGTCTTTCATGTGGTACCTTGTCAAAAGCTTTAACAAAGTTCACGTATACATCTACTGGAAGTCGCAACAATGGCAGGGGGGGGCCTCACGACACCCAACAATGGCAGGGGGGCCTCACGACACCCAACAATGGCAGGGAGGCCTCACGACACCCAACAATGGCAGGGGGGGCCTCACGACACCCAACAATGGCAGGGGGGCCTCACGACACCCAACAATGGCAGGGGGGGGGGGCCTCACGACACCCAACAATGGCAGGACAATGTACTGACCCCAATGAGTGTGAAGTATGAGAGGTGTTGATCCTTCTCAGCCTCGCCGTAGTAGTACACCAGGAAGCTCCCAACCTGAAGAAGTAATGACGTAAAATCATTAAAATAATAGTTACATGAGCAATGGCCGATAGTGAACGTTAAGGTTCAGTCGTAAGTCAGAAACGTTCAAGTATGCCTAGTTCGGCAAGGATTTTGCTGAAAATTAAGCAGAGCATTTAATTATATATATATATATATATATATATATATATATATATATATATATATATATATATATATATATATATATATATATATATATATATATATATATATATATATATATATATATATATATATATATATATATATATATATATATATATATATATATATATATATATATATATATATAACGCACAGAACAGAACGCACTTCTCAGCCTACTATGCATGGCCCGATTTGCCTAATAAGCCAAGTTTTCATGAATTAATTGTTTTTCGACTACCTAACCTACCTAACCTAACTTTTTCTGCTACCTAACCTATAAAGATAGGTTAGGTTAGGTTGGTTAGGTTTGGTCATATATCTACGTTAATTTTAACTCCAATAAAAAAAATTGATCTCATATATAATGAAATGGGTAGCTTTATCATTTCATAAGAAAAAAATTAGAGAAAATATATTAATTCAGGAAAACTTGGCTTATTAGGCAAAGCGGGCCTTGCATAGTAGGCTGAGAAGTGCGTTCTGGCTACTAGGTACGACATATATATATATATATATATATATATATATATATATATATATATATATATATATATATATATATATATATATAAACAGCGGTATAATACATTTTAACCTTATGTAATTATAGTATTTTAATGTCATATACAATAATGCTAAGTATTATACTGAGGGGTCCTGGTATAATACAAGTATTTTACTACCGAGGGTCACTAATCAACCGTCCATTCCATCCAGCGGTCGACCCCACAGACACATTCATAAATTTTTACATGCTGTTCATTCAAAACAGGAATTCTCAAATCTAAATTATAATATATTAGGATATTATGCATATACAAGTATAGGTTAGGTTAGGTTAGATGTTTAAATTCTGTTGGCGATTATTTGTATTTGTAGTACGTGGGTGAAGCATTTATAGCAACCCGTCCTCCAAACAGAGACCCAAAAGTGATTCCATGCACCCGCCAAACCCACTGTTTATGAATGAAAAACGGTTTACACACGACTCAACTGTTGACGTTCGAACACTTCCGAAACAAGTGCTTCACTGAGGAAACTTTTATCCGAACCATAGTGCGAAAAGATACGTGAATTCAGAGAATTCTGGAAGAATTGTTCCAAAGATGTGTAAATATTTCATTTAAAATGATCTGCTACCGGAAATTTTAACTAAATATCCCCAGTTTGCCAACTGTAGGTAATAACCGAGTGATTGTAACCTATCCACCGCTGCCCTCTGGATGGGGGGCGGTGTGCAGGACAAACATAAATTGTGACACTAGCTCTACACATATGTCAATTGCTTAATTTAGAAACGGTACTTTTGATCGATCTCGAAGCCATTGATGATGTGACTATGTATATTGAATTTTTTAACTAGCTCATCAAGATTGTAACTTGGTTAGCTTAATGAATTGTGGGGTTCAGTCCCTGAACCCATTATGTGCCTCTGTAACCCTTTCCACTACCGCCCACAGGATGTTTATGGGGTACATAATATATATATTTTATTTTTTTGCAGGGATATTTCTGCGCGGGTCCCAAGCCTCTGGCTGCCCTACTAGGGTACATAATGAACAAATGAACTAAACTAACTTTTTTCCCCTGACAGTTTTAGCTAGATAGGTAACGAATACTTTTTGAAAGGAAATTTAATTCTCTACAAAAGTAGTCCTTAGCATGTTCCATGCTAATGGTCTCTGAGAAACAGGGCCTGAAGAGCCAAGAGAGAGCAGCCTAATCAAAATTGGTTGAAGTTTTCAGCCAGTGCTTACAGTAAGTGGTCACTAGCATGGAAGTAAGGCAGCATGGCTTTTATGGCTTCCGGATGTAAATTCCAGTCTCCACTTCTCTAAGCTTGCACAAATTTTCACTAATGTGACCATATTTAAATATTATACAAATAGCTCATAGATGAAGGCCTAGTTTTTTCCCAATCATAATACTTTTCTGGGAATTTTTTCCATGTTTTTTTTTCAAAATGGACGCGTCACGAACTTCGAAAGAAACAACTTCCTCTTTTCAAAAAAGTTGTTAGTTTCTGTTCATTATCAAGGAAGTTGCATGACCTTAAAACAATCTTTGAAGAGCAAGGCGAGTCAAGAGGTGTGCTCACAAAGTTCTTCAGTAAGCATGTCCTTAAGCATTTTGTTTGTGTATGCGGCAGCATATACACAGTACAGAACAGTTCTTTAAACCCGCTGCTTGCCATTGTTTCCTGTAACTCGCATAAATGACATTAACAAGTCAAAACCACCAAGTCTAACTTTATTTAACTCAGTTTGGGCTCATCACTTTATGCCGTTATATACCGCACCTTGATGTAAAGCGGAAGATCAAAAGTCACAATATAACTTGGTTGATTAGAAGATTCACATCTCTCAGCGACACTGAGCAGTACAGTGTATATATATATTGTTATAATTGTTTGTGGAAAGTTAATAAATGGGGGAGACCGTGAATGAAGTCTGTGACGTGACTTGTTCCATAAAACAAGTTCCCTAGTGAACGACTTTTGATCTCACATGAACAAACAATCGTTACTCCTTCAAGATGAGTTATTTTAGTGTCGCTTCCTTTTTCACTTATCTTAAGTGCTCTTTTTTTTTAATTTCAGTAATATTTGACAGGCTTAACAAAGGAAGCACTAAACCTAATTCATTTTAAATGACATTTTTCAATTACAGTAATATAACTAACGAGTATTTGCTGTAAAACAAGAGTAATAGTCAACAGCTGTCCAGTCCTGAAAATTAGAAAACTCAATTATTTACTAATGTTATCGGCTTATCATTACAAACTTCCTTATACCCTGTACAGTACTTAAAAAAAAACAAGCCAATAAACATTTTAATGTACCAAAATTATAATTTACCTAGATATTAATGATCATTATATTCAGACCGTTTCTTTGAAATCGTTAAACCCTAAAGAGAACATGCTAAGGACCATCTTGTAGAGAATTAAATAAGGATTCGTTACCTATTGAGCTAAAACTGACAGGAAACAGGTTTGGCACACATTTTCGGCTCCATGTTTCCAAGATGGCGGCTGAAGCTCACTTCTCCCGAGCTAAAGTTTAACGTGGTATAAGGAGTCATATTATTAAAGGTTTAACAAAGTTAACAGCTTTCTGGAAAAAAAATTACGAATTGCCTTTATTTTCTGGTTTAACTGAGTGGGCGGAGAGGCGAGGTGATGACCTACCTTGGTGGTGGGGATGTACTCCCTCACGCAGGGGTGTTCACGGATCTTCAACACCGTGGCTGTCTCTAGTTCCTTCTCAAGGAAGGATTCGTACGCGACAGCAGTCAGGCTGGCGGTAAACAGTGGGAAGTTAACTTTGGTCCACGATACATTTAGTTATATACTAAAGTCCAATACTGCAATGGTGTTTCCATGCGATATCTTCTCTTCAAAACAGAATTATTAATTAGTAAAGTATACTTAACCACTTATTGCATGTTACACCCGTTAAGCAAGGCAATAGCAAAAAATGTATTATTCAATAATGCGTAAATAATCCAAATTCAAACTTTAAAGTAGTTACCCATAACCAAACTCCCCTAGTTTAATTGTAATAATTAAACTATCCTAATTTCGACTTGTACTGAATTTTGTAACTAGCTCATCAAGATTGTAACTTGCTGAGCTACATGAATTGTGGGGTTCAGTCCCTGAGCCCATTATGTGCCTCTGTAACCCTTTCCACTACCGCCCACAAGATGGGTATGGGGTGCATAATAAATGAACTAAACTAACTACTAAATTCTGAATAAAATTATAATTAGAAGATAAGTTACCTTGCGAATGAGTTACCATTCGAGGCGTTTGTAACAGGACAAACCATTTAGCACTTGTACTCACTAAGATATATTGAGAGTGGCGTGGGCGTCTGTGTTGAAAGCTCGACGGTCGAAGTAGGCGGCCTGCTCCCACCCGGTGACGTGCACACCACCACTGCCGTCATGCCTCGTCCGGGGCACCTCCGGCGTCACCACGTCGCGGCCATGTTGCACCATCCCCCGCAGGTACCAGTCCCAGTCCACACCCTGCCCTGGCACCACACACTTACTCCCAGGCCACACCCTGCCCTGGCACCACACACTTAGTCCCGGGCCACACCCTGCCCTGGCACCACACACTTACTCCCAGGCCACACCCTGCCCTGGCACCACACACTTAGTCCCGGGCCACACCCTGCCCTGGCACCACACACTTAGTCCCGGGCCACACCCTGCCCTGGCACCACACACTTAGTCCCGGGCCACACCCTGCCCTGGCACCACACACTTAGTCCCGGGCCACACCCTGCCCTGGCACCACACTCTTACTCCCGGGCCACACCCTGCCCTGGCACCACACTCTTAGTCCCGGGCCACACCCTGCCCTGGCACCACACTCTTACTCCCGGGCCACACCCTGCCCTGGCACCACACACTTAGTCCCGGGCCACACCCTGCCCTGGCACCACACACTTAGTCCCGGGCCACACCCTGCCCTGGCACCACACTCTTACTCCCGGGCCACACCCTGCCCTGGCACCACACTCTTACTCCCGGGCCACACCCTGCCCTGGCACCACACACTTAGTCCCAGGCCACACCCTGCCCTGGCACCACACTCTTACTCCCGGGCCACACCCTGCCCTGGCACCACACACTTAGTCCCAGGCCACACCCTGCCCTGGCACCACACTCTTACTCCCGGGCCACACCCTGCCCTGGCACCACACTCTTACTCCCGGGCCACACCCTGCCCTGGCACCACACACTTAGTCCCAGGCCACACCCTGCCCTGGCACCACACTCTTACTCCCGGGCCACACCCTGCCCTGGCACCACACACTTACTCCCAGGCCACACCCTGCCCTGGCACCACACACTTAGTCCCGGGCCACACCCTGCCCTGGCACCACACACTTACTCCCAGGCCACACCCTGCCCTGGCACCACACACTTAGTCCCGGGCCACACCCTGCCCTGGCACCACACACTTAGTCCCGGGCCACACCCTGCCCTGGCACCACACACTTACTCCCGGGCCACACCCTGCCCTGGCACCACACTCTTACTCCCGGGCCACACCCTGCCCTGGCACCACACTCTTACTCCCGGGCCCCACCCTGCCCTGGCACCACACTCTTACTCCCGGGCCACACCCTGCCCTGGCACCACACACTTAGTCCCAGGCCACACCCTGCCCTGGCACCACACTCTTACTCCCAGGCCACACCCTGCCCTGGCACCACACTCTTACTCCCAGGCCACACCCTGCCCTGGCACCACACTCTTACTCCCAGGCCACACCCTGCCCTGGCACCACACTCTTACTCCCAGGCCACACCCTGCCCTGGCACCACACTCTTACTCCCAGGCCACACCCTGCCCTCTCCGCTACACGGAAGTCGTATGACTCGAGCGTGATCATACAGATACAAATATTTATTCAGGTAAAGTACATACATACAAGGTGAAATACAAAAGTTGATGGATTTATAGATAGAGCTAGTACATACAATGCCTAAAGTCACTATTACGCAAAGCGTTTCGGGCAGGAAAAACACTAAGACTAAAACTTAATACTAATTGAGATTAAAGAATAAATTGTGTTGAGAAAAAATAAAAAAATAATAAAAAAAGGGGGGGGGGAAACATGGCAGAAAAAAAGCAAAAATACAATTTGGTCAACAAACAGCATTGTTTAAAATCGTAGACATGGGTTGACATTTAGGGGTGAGGTAGGTTACATCGAGTTAATTAGGTGGTACTTAGTTTTTATCTTAAAACTGGTTGGGAGAGGTACAGTCTTTAACATAATTGGGAAGGTCATTCCACATTCGAGGTCCCTTGATTTGTAAAGCATTTCTAGTTTGACTAAGTCGTACTCTTGGAATATCAAATAGGTATTTGTTTCTGGTGTGGTGCTCATGGGATCTGTTACAACCTTCTAGGAAGCTTTTAAGGTCAGGATTGACATTACAGTTCAGCGTTTTATATATGTATAATACACATGAGAGGATGTGCAGTGACTTAATATCTAACATTCAGAGATTTGAGTAAGGGTACCGAGTGATGTCTGGGTCCAGAGTTAGATATTGTCCTAATAGCAGCTTTGTGTTGAGTAATTAGAGGACGTAAACGATTTTGGGTAGTAGAACCCCAAGCACAAATACCATAGTTGAGATAAGAATAGATGCGAGAGTAATAGTGTCACCAGGGCAGGGCGGGGTACACAATATCTAATCTTAGAAAGAATGCCAACAGTTTATGAAACTTTTTTTTTTATATATTTAGAATGTGTCCCTGGAAATTCAGCTTACGACAATGAGAACGCCAAGGAATTTGCCATCTACTTTGTTACAAATTTGGGTATTGTTAATCCTGAGATTTATTTGATTTAAGGATTTATTGCCAAACAAAATATAGAAAGTTTTTTTCAATATTAAGGGTGAGTTTGTTGGCAGTTAGCCAGTGATTGACTTTATTTAGCTCAGTATTCACTGACATTTAGAGCAAGGGGGTCAGGACTGGAGTAAATGCAGGTCGTGTCGTCAGCAAACAGAATTGGTTTGAGATGTTGGGAGGCATTTGGGAGGTCATTAATGTAGATGAGAAAGAGGAGAGGGCCAAGTATGCTGCGCTGGGGAACACCAATGTTGATGGGTAGGGTGGGAGAAATTGAATTATTCACAAACATATTGGAGCCTGTTAGTAAGGTAAGACTTAAGGTACTGCAGGGAGTGACCTCCGACTCCATAATGTTGTAATTTAAGAAGAAGGTTTTGGTGGTTGACAGTGTCAAAAGCCTTACGCAGGTCCACAAATAACCCAATAGGGAACTCATTTCTATCAAGAGCTGCATGTATCAAGTTAATCGTACAAATAAGTACATCGTTAGTGCTTTTTTGAGGCCTGAAGCCATATTGACAAGAGCTAAGTATATTGTGTTTGGCTAGATAAGAGTAAAGCTGTTTGTAGATAAGTTTTTCAAATATTTTAGACAAGTTTGGCAGAATTGATATAGGTCTGAAGTTGTTAACTTCAGTGGGATCACCACATTTGTGGACAGAGGTTACTCTCGCTTTTTTTTAGAATATCTGGAAAGGTTTGGAGTTCAAGTGACTTGTTAAAGAGCAATGCAATGGCAGGAGCTAAAAATCTGGAGGCTTTTTTTGTAAATAAGAGTTGGTATCTCCTCAAGGGCACTAGACTTGGTTTTATGGGAAAGGATTATGTCAGTAACATCAGTGGAATTAGTAGGCATTAGGTACAGAGACTGTGGATAGTTACCTGTAAGATAGTCCTGAATATTAGTACTGGAAGATGGAATATCATTTGCAAGGGATGACCCAATGGAAGAGAAGAATCTATTGAACTCAAAAGTTCATAGATATATGTATTATTTATATACATACAAATAATACATATGAATATGTATTGTATTTGTATTTGAGAGTTCCGCTCACTTCACAGGCCACTGTTACGTCTTATCCTGGACTATTACATGCAGACTGGTTCACCATGTCTCACGAAAGGATAATCAAATCGGAAAATGTTAAGCGATAAGCCTCGATTATACTAACACTTACCAATTACCTTACCTGCCCGAAACGCTGTGCGTACTGGTGGCTTTACAAGAATGTAAACACATATGTACTCTCAAACCCAATGTAACTTCTTATATATACATAAATTATAAAAAATTATTTATTATAAATAATAATAATAAATAATATTTTATTCAGGAAAAGTACATACATAGATGCAGAGTTACAAACATACTGTTGGTATAACACTTTTTAAACCTTTTCTGTATTAAGTTTTGACTAACTTTGATCGTTTTAAATGCCAGTACTAAGTCGCCAGTACTAAGTCACCTCTATAATCTCTTCTATAATTATAATTTCTTCACATTGAGAAAGCATGGCTCACTATTTCCCAAATATTGGGATCAAAAAAGATCTTTAATAAAAAAACCATACTCCTATCCAATGACGATGGTGTGCTTTCAGCCTCTGACACTATTATTGAATTCAAAAGGTTTTCCTCCTCCATTGGAACATCCCTTGCTCATGATATTCCATCCCCCCTCACTAATGTTAAAGACTACCTTACAGGTAACTATCCAGAGTCTCTGTACCTAACTCCTGCTAATTCCTCTGATGTTAATGATGTAATCCTTTCCCTTAAAAGTAAGTCAAGTGCCTTTGATGAGATACCATCTCTAATTTACAAAAAAAAGTCTCCAGATTTCTAGCTCCTGCCATTGCATTGCTCTTCAACAAATCACTAACTCCAAACCTTTCCGGATATTATTATAAAAAAAAAGCTAGAGTAACCCTAGTCCACAAATGTGGTGATCTCACTAATGTCATCAATTACAGACCTATATCAATTCTACCAACATTGTCAAAAATATTTGAAAAGTTAATCTACAAGCAGCTTTACTCTTATCTAACCAAGCACAATATACTTGGCTCTTGCCAATATGGCTTCAGACCCAATAAAAGCACTAACGATGCACTGATTAGTATGATTAACTTGATACATGCAGCTCTTGATAAAAATGAGTTTCCTGTTAGGTTATTTGTGGACCTGCGTAAGGCTTTTGACACTCAACCACCAAAATCTTCTTAAATTACATCATTATGGAGTCAGAGGTCACTCCCTGCAATACCTTCAATCTTACCTTACTGACAGGCTCCATTATGTTTGTGAATAATTCCATTTCTCCTATCCTACCCATAATCATTGGTGTTCCACATGGCAGCATACTTGACCCCTCTCCTCTTTCTCATCTACATTAATGATCTTCCAAATGCCTCTCAACACTTCAAACCAATCTTATTTGCTGATGAAAACCTTCATTTTCTCCAGTCCTGATCCTCTTGCTCTAAATATCACAGTAAATACCGAGCCAAAGATGGACTTTCTTTAGTTAACTGCTAACAAACTCACCCTAAACATGACAAAACTTTCTATATTTTGTTTGGTAATAAGTCCTCAAATGAAAGTAATCCAAGAATAAACAATATCCAAAAATAGTAACAAAGTTGATGGTAAATTCCTTGGTATCTTCATCGGTAACAAGCTGAATTTCCAGACATACATTCTAAATAGCAAAATAAAGTTTCTAAAACTGTTGGTATTCTTTCTAAGATCAGACATTATGTACCTCGCCCTGCCCTGGTGACGCTCTATTACTCTATCATCTATCCTTATCTCAACTATGGTATTTGTGCTTGGGGTTCTACTACCCGAAATCATTTACGTCCTCTAATTACTCAACACAAAGCTGTTATTAGAACAATAACTCTGGCACCAGACATCACTCGGTACCCTTACTCAAATCTCTAAATATGTTAGATATTAAGTCACTGCACATCCTCATGTGCACTATATATTTAAAACTCTGAACTGTAATGTTAATCATTACCTTAAAAGCTTCTTAGAAGGTTATAACAGAACCCATGGGCACTACACCACAAACAAATACCTATTTGATATCCCAAGAGTACGACTTAAACTAGAAATGCTCGACAAATCAAAGGACCGATAATGTGGAATGACCTTCCCAATCATGTCAAAGACTGTACCCCTCTCAACCAGTTTAAGATAAAAACTAAGTACTACCTAATAAACTCCATGTAACCTACCTACCTTACTCCTGAATGTCAACCCATGTCTTACTATTGTCATCAATGCTGTTTATTGACCAACTTGTATAATTGCTATTCTCTGCATTGTTCCCATTTTTTTAATTTTTATTTTTTTAATACAATTTAGACTAAGCTCAATTACTATTAAGTTTTAGTTTAAGTGGTTCATCCCCCCCCCCCCCACCCCACCCCACATCTTGCCCGAAACGCTATGCGTACTAGTGGCTTTAGGTATTGTACGTATTGTCTCTATCTTTAAATCCAACATTATGTTTGTAACTCACCTTCAATGTATGTACTTTTACCTGAATAAAAAATCTAAAATCTAAATCTAATCTATTTATAGATAGAGCTAGTACATAATACCTAAAGCCACTAATACGCATAGCGTTTCGGGCAAAATTTATTCACCAAGAGATTAGAGGTGATTTAGTACTGGCATTTAAAACGATCAAAGTTATTGTCAAAACTTAATACAGATAAGGTTTAAAAAGTGTTATGCTGACAGTTGCACCCCGCGGCACTTGCCTCCAAACTAACAAGTATAATGGCTACATTATTGTAGTTGTATTAAACATTTATTATTTTAGATCATTTGATCAGTTCCACAATACAAGTGATAAATTATAAGATTCTTAATCTTATTTTGTCGGGGACAGGCAGCCTGTGTATGTATGATAGGCTTGTATCGACTCCCCCCCCCCCCTCCAAGGTGGAACTACTGATCCTCCCCAGGATGCAACCCCACAACAGCTGTCCAAATACGCCGACGGATCAGTCAATTCTAGTATATGGAGGGCGGGAAATGTACACTCACTAGCATGCATAGCGTTTCAGGCAGGTCCTTAATCCTAATTTTCACCAGAATACGACCCGCCAAATCGTTTAACCACCAGATACGCATTCACTGCTGGGTGAACAGAGGCTTCAGTTAAGGATTGGGCCCAGTCAATCCTCCCCGGACCGGATATGAACCCACGCAAATTGAGCCATTTAGAGATAAATCTAAGCTCACGCTGTATGATACGGCAAAACATCTTATTACCTAGGATAAAATACCTGAAATCCTTGCACTGTATCCATATTACGCTTCAAGTAGATAAACGACATACGAGGTTAAGAAACACGTAGTGTATTGTGAAGTCTAATAATAACATTAGTCATAGAGGAGCTGCTATCTCCATTGCTCAAACAATTGTGTATTATCGATAAGACCTACCATGTATGTATAATGACACTTAATATATAGTCTTTGAAAAAGAACATTCTCTGTAACTAGCTGACATGTAACTAAGGTGTGAAGGATAGATGAAATTGTTTATGTAATAATCTACGTTGAGGTCTGATAAAGACCTTTTGTGCCCTCTGTAATAATTTTTTGCGCTACCGCTCACTGGATGGGTATGGGGTGCACAATAAACTAGCCGCCTCCGGCGGCAACAATCAAATCAAAACACTTGCTAAGCGCCGGGCAAATGCTTTACTACTGCGCCACAGGGACTTTAATAATAAACAATAGGTTTGGCAGCTGGATTAAAAATCATTTTTGCAATTTTTTTATGAGAACGGGCTAATAAGTAAGGCCATGATTCGAAACATCGTATGTAATAAGCAAGTAATTATCAAAAGGCGCGAAAAAGGGGAGACATTCTATGTAATGAGTAAACTATTTGTAAACCAGAATGTCTTACGTGACTGGTCTTAGGCCAGAGTGGGAGGACCTGGAGAGCCCAGCGCCGGTTGACCATCCAGCCATAAGCTGGCAGGATCTCCTCACGGTAGAGGCGGCTTGTGTCTATGGCCGTCGGCGCGAAGCTGTTGTAGTTGAAGGCATTCACGCAGAAAATGGTACTGTCTGTATCCAGCAGTGGTGCAGTCTGGTGGAAGTAACTGAAACCAAGAGTTGTAGTTTAGTAATGTATTGATTGTTGCCGCCGAAGGCGGCTAGTTTATTGTGCACCCCATACTCATCCTGTGAGCGGTAGCGCAAAAGCATTACAGAGGGCACAAAAGGTCTTTATCAGACCTCATCTTAGATTATTACATAAACAATGTAAGTGTACCCCATACCTAACCTGGGAGTGGTAATACATATGGTTACACACGCATTTATTGGGCTCAAGAACTGAACCCCCAAAATTCCTTTTGCTAAATTAGGAATAGCACCGATGAGCTACTTAATATAAGTAAATCAACGGTATCTTCACAATTTATTAAATAAATCACCGTAAGCTTAAACAGCCCTAACGCAAAGTGAAATTGTTAGTTATTATTCATGTTCCCTTCCTCCCCTTGCTACTTCGGGGTTATCTCGAGATGATTTCGGGGCTTAGCGTTCCCGCGGCCCGGTCCTCGACCAGGCCTCCTTATTTGTTACCCCGAGGAAGCAGCCCGTAGCAGCTGACTAACTCAGGTACCTATTTACTGCTAGGTAACAGGGGCCATCAGGGTGAAAGAAACTGCCCATTTGTTTCCGCCTTCACCGGAACTCGGCTACTCAGAACAAAAAGTTCCAAGTAGCACGGGCTATGGTGAACCTGTAATTGAGTTCTGTTATTTGCGATAATCTTGTTACTGATATTTGGGTCAAAGTTTTAAATGGAGGTGGTGTTCCTCCTTTACCCGTTTCTTTTCCCTCTTCGGTTTTAGTTGCTTTAATAACATCTTGGTGGCGGATGTAGGTGCAGAATGTTCAGTAGTGTGTCCCATTCTTCAACTGCTTTTCTAATCATTGTTTCCCCCCCAAGCCAGGGGGGGGGGTGACCGCGTCCTGTCCAGGCCAGGAGGGAAATAATAATATTATAATAATGATGATAAAAAAATATATATATTATATATATACTGTGTATGTATGTATGTATATATATATATATATATATATATATATATATATATATATATATATATATATATATATATGCGCACTAACTTGCTTAAACCACAAGTTTGAAGTTTACAACTTTTAGACACCCACCCACCAGGGGACTTGAATCCTGGCCATCAAGATGGCAGGTACGCACTTAAATCCACTACACCATACTCAGAGCCTTAACGAGTCTTACCTGGGACGCGGTCAGGTCAAGAAGTACCTGCTCCGCAACTAGAGGTGAAGTTAGTATTGGAGTTTAGCTCAGTTTACACACAAGGAGACTGACTAATATCAATCGCTTTCTACACATCTCCCTCCATGCTGGGTACTGAGATGGAAACTGACACCAGAAGAACTGGCTACTCCCCACAGCAATATTCACATGGCCTCAAAGCAGCCAGTCAGTAAAGGAGAGTGATTTTCAAGAAGTTCTAACCAGGCAACAGAAGAAACGGAGAAGACAGGATGTAAGGCGTAGTGTTGACAGTGATAGTGCACATAACGGAAACGACAAGAGAATGAAGAACGACGCCGAGACTGATCAAACCAGTGTCGACGAACAGACAGAACGATATCAGGAAGGTGAGGGTCAGCGGAGGTAGAGGCTTCTCTTCCCTGCCTCATGCACACTGACCTACCACCACAAGCTGCTGTGAACAGTCAAACTTGGAAGAGAACACCGCAAGTTCGAGCCCCTGCTGAAGGAAGGTGTGAACAGACCTTACTTAATGGTAGGTTCTATGGAGGCAGTTGTGTTTCTTGCCCAGCAAGGATATGATGGAATTGTTATGGAAATACCGGAGGAGAACGAGAAGCTGACGAAGGTAATTATCTACAAATACCCTCAGATTCTAGACCCTGAATTCATCCTTGACGACCAACTATTTGTGTGTGCCAAGCATCACCTTATTAAAGGTGAAGCTAGGAATCGGGTTGTTGCTCTAATGAGAGGTGAAGTTCCCGAGAGTGTGTTCATCACCGGGGCGGGCTACAGGCATGTAGCAAAGTATGTAGAAGTATGTATGTATTTCAGGCATAATATGCCTGAAATGCTGCAGATGGGAGAAATACGGGAGATTGGTATCAACAATACACGCCGCTCTGCGTTGATAGTTTTTACGAGGACATGGTCGAGAACAGAGAAATTAGTACAGAGGGAAAATAACGGGGGCAGGGGAAGCAAGACGCATGGACCTAAGAAATTTAAATATTCCAATGATCAGCAAGTTAAGGGGTGGGAGAGAATGCTACGGAGTGCACATAAAGAATGGTTAAAAAAATGAATGAGGAATGAAAAGAAAATTACAATGTTGGAAGTGGTTAGGGAATGGAGTCAGGTGAGGAAGGAGGCGCCAGTATCTGTCCCGCAAGACTTTGCTCAGTCCATTGGTAATACTAAGAATCTTAAAGACATATGGAGAGCAGTAAACAAAATCAGGGGTTTTAAGACCAAATCCATAGCTCACTCAGATCCAGGGAAGGTTGCTAATGCGTTAGTAGATAAATGGGCAAGTGCTGCTGGTATGGAGTCCTTACCTGCAGACACGAGAGTCACCATTGAGTCATGGGAAAATATTAGAAATGGAGTAACTTTATGTGCTTTAAGATCTGTAACATGCACCGAGATAACTCACGATGAGATACTTGATGCCATAAAAAGTGGCAGCTCTACTGCTCCGGGGAAAGATGGAGTAACGTATGGCATTCTTAATTATTTAGCCGGTATGAAACCTAGTCCCTTACTTGATTTGTTTAACATGAGTTATAGAGGGAAAGTTACCAAAGAAATTGTTAAGAGGCTGTCATCATTCCTATCCCTAAGTCAAACGGAGGCTACAGGCCTGTCTCCTTAACATCCTGCTTTTGTAAAATGGACAGGATTTTGTTAAATAGGCTACTCTATGTAAGAATACTTAGCAAGAGGGTAAATATAAAAATGTTGTGGATTCCTTCTCACATTGGCATGCAGGAACATGACAAAGTTGACGCCCTTGCTAAGGCTGCAGTAAATAAAGACAGTATTGAATGGAATCTTGAGTTATCAAATAGGTCCCTTAAAAGTGTCATTAGACGAGAACTCCTAGATGGATTTGAAGAAAGTAGAACAGTGCAAACTGGAATTAGTAGGTCCATTGTTCATCACAATGAAATGTGTGAAGTAAAACATGTGTATGTGGCAAGTAACAAAGTCAGTAGACTAACAGATGTTGTCACAACTCGTATAAGACTTGGCTACAAGTATCTCTGGCAGTTCGGCTTGTATAGGGATCTAGATGAAGTAAAGTGTAAAGTGTGTGGACATAGGCAGGGACACACACTCGAACACTATATCTTGGATTGTTGTAAAATTGAGCCTTTTAGAGATAAATCTAAGCTCACTCTGTATGATATGGCAACCTATCTTATTACCATGGATAAATTACCTGAAATCCTTGCACTGTACCCACATTTTGCTTCCAGTAGATGAACGACATATGAGATTCAGAAACAAGTAGTGTATTGTGAGGACTAATAATAAACAGAAGCTCCCCTATGACTGTAATATCCCCATTGGCCAAACTATTATGTATTAACGACAAAACCTACCATTAATGTATGATGACTTACTGTAAATATGTAGCTCTTGTAATAGCACTTTCTATGTAACTAGCTGACATTGTATCTATAAGGTGTGAAGGATTGAAGAAATTGTTTATGTAATAATCTAAGATGAGGTCTGATAAAGACCTTTTGTGCCCTCTGTAATGCTTTTGCGCTACCGCTCACAGGATGAGTATGGGGTGCACAATAAACTAGCCGCCTTCGGCGGCAACAATCAATCAAGGCTACTCTACCTTGTAGGTGATAACATGTCCAATAATCTCTTTGGTTTTATCAAAGGCAAAAGTACTGCGGACTGTCTCCTAAAGTGTTTGTCTAATGTGGATGACAATTGTAGAGTTTTTGTTGATCTGCAAGGAGCATTTAATAAAGCCAATGGGGAAGTAATCTTATACGAATTAGCCAATCTGGGAATAACAGAGATTGCTACACTGGATAAGGGATTATCTACAAGGGAGAAAAGGTCAGGTGTATTACCAGGAATACATGTCTGAGGAACGGAGGTTTCAGTTAGGTACCCCCCAAAGGTGAGTTTTAAGTCTCACCTTATTCAATGTATTAATGAACAGATTAGCATCAGAGATGTATCCTCCAGGGGTCACGACGATCATATATGCTGATGACATTCTTATACAAGGCACTTCTGGGAGCAAAATACAAACTGCTCTTAACATACTTCGTACAACCTGTCACAAGTTAGGCTTAGTTATAAATGCAGACAAAACCAAATATGAGTATAGGAAACGAAGAAATATAACACTAAATGGTGTGGAACTGAGCCGTGTACAGAAGTACACGAGTATCTGGGCATGTATGTTGGATACACACGTGTGAGTAAAAATGCTGAAATAAATCATATCAGCACCTTATGTAAAGCCCGTCTGCATCCTCTAAAAACACTGGCTTTTTCTGGTAAAGGTGTTGGGGTACCTATCTTACGGATGTTATACATAAGCACTGTTCGGTCCCTGATAGACTACGCAGCACCCGTATTGTCTTACACAGGCCAAGGCAGAATTAAAAAAATAGAGCTGATACAGAACGAGGCGATGAGGATTATTCTTGGATGTCAAAGAAAGACAATGATTGAAATAATGAGAATGGAATTAAATTTACAGAGTGTGTATGATAGAGTCCATGACATTAACACTAGAGTATCTATTCGTTTCATGCGGAGAAAAGGAGGGGATAAGCTGTTTGAGAGCGTTCAGACCTGCTTGAGTGA